ATTGATTTCATCTTTAAACAACACGTTGAATGACATCTGAAATCCACATCTGTTTTGCCTGCTATCAAAGTTAGCGTACATCTGAAATCTTTCTACGCATTAGATCTACCTGCTGTTACTGATCAAACACCCTGTGAATAGGTTTAGCGAGAGAGAAAGTATTATCACAGAAACAAACACAGACTTTACTTTAAAAGAAACAACGTATTTAAGGACAACTGCTTTTGTTAAATTAGCTCAAACACTTTAAGATACATCCCCACTCAATATCGCAGATATGATCACTTCCATCAGTGGGAATCCTGTACCTCAACGTTTGGGGAGAAAAAAAATCATTTCTTCCCCTAATCTGTTAGAATTTAATAGCGTGCTCCTCTGGCTTTATAAAATCTAGATCATCCCTCTTAATGTCAATATTTTCACGAAGGTGGTAAAGTTTTATTTCATATTAACGCTCCGGTATGGAATACTTAAGACGCATATTCTTTAACTAGCAAAGGTATCAAGTTCATAATATTAGAACCTTTAAGAGCTAACTGAAAAAAAAAAATCGAAATTGAGGGCAACACTTTTTTTTTTAAGAGCACACACATTTCTGAATATGGGTTCATTAGCAGCACCGAACTTCCTGGCGTAGGGGACAAAACTTTGGTACGTCCTGCTTCTGGCTAATGGTGCGTGTTGTGTCTCTGAGAAATAACGACGGAACACAAGCAACAGGCGCTATCTCATTAAAACCTTTTCACATCCCAGAAACTTTCCTCGGGCCACAAGGATCTCCGGATCCAGAAATTCCGTTTGGCCTGAAATGGTTTTCTTCCACTCTTCACAAAAGCTGAGCTCATCTATTCAAAAAAAAAAAAATATATTAATACATTATAAACCTCACACAATCCTTCATAACTACCTACTTTCACCACTTAGGACAAACTACATAGCACTATTACATTAAGTATATCCATGTTTTAATTTGTCTTCGTAAGAAAAGTTATCAATGTGCTGCATATGAATATCTACAATGTATTTTATCTTGTTTTAAATTAAAGTGAACTTATCTTACTAGGCTTAATTAAATTGTATGCCTCATATATATATACAAAAAATAATTTTTGCCTCTGATTTCCTAAATCGTTGTCCCGTACGGTTTAAGCGCCATTATAAGCTGTCACGGTTGATCAGGCGTGAAGAACAGCTACAAGCTAAATAAAAATGGTCCTGATTAATTTATAATTGTAACAGAAAAAAATAAAACAAAAAACATAATTTAATGTGGTTCATTTTTTCCCCCCATGTAGTCTTTCAAACCTTGACCAGATTTCTCTGTAGACCAAGACAACGGCTACCAAGATTAGGTCTGCATCATTAAGATGTGGGGTTGTTAAAGTACATCGTGCGGTGCACACCGGGGAGCGACAGATGGACGGCAGGAGCGATGCACTTTTAAACACGTGTGAAATTCAATGCAACAATAGGAGACAGCGCTCCAGTCAATACAAGGAACAGAATTCTATTTTTCGCGTTAGGAGAGAATGAGGGTGGGGTTTCGAATTATTCCAAAACTATAAATCTTCCAGAAAGAAGAGTTTGTGTTTTTTTTTGTGTTTTTTTTTTAATGGACAAACAAGAATAGCCTAATGCCTTTGGGTATACATAATTCCTTGACTTACGTTTTTTTGGAGCATTTCTTAAAGTGCATGTTAATTTTTGCTTAAATTCCAATCAGAACATAGCATTCTATTCCAATGTGACACGTCACATACAAGCTACTGTTACCTTTTTATAATCCTCATAATGAAATTTAAAAAATTAAAAAGACATAAATACTCTCCAAGGCGATCGCCCAATCGTTATGCATTTATTGAGCTCAACTGGGTCAAAAGAATTTCGGTAACCTACTTCATTTGAGCATTTCTTAAAGTGCATGTTCTATTTGTTTTTCTTCTAAAATACTGATATAATTAATTGGTGAATTAGCTAAAAATCAATAAATGTTTTTTAAAAAACGCAAAATTCAAACATATTACTTAAAACCTATGTAAGGGTTAGGGCTATGATATTGCTAATAACCTAGCTTAGGATTAGGGTAAGGGCTTATAACACTTGTTAGGATTAGGTTTTTAGGCATAAACTAGTTTAGGTTTAGGGGATTGTTTAACCGAGGTTAGGGTTAGATCAATACGTGCAACCTCGGTTAGGGTTAGGTTTTTACGTATAGGCTAGTCTAAGGTTATGGTATTACGCATAAACTAGATTAATATTAGGTTATTACGTATAGGTAGGTTAGGTAAGGTTATTACATATAAACTAGGTTAGGGTTCAGGTAATATGTATAACCCATGATGGGCTTAGGATATTCAGTATAACCTCGGTAAACGGTAGGGTAATACATTTAACCTAGGTTAGGATTGATAAATAAGTAAAACATAGGTTATATTTATGGTAATCTGTGTAACCATGGTTAGGGTTAATGAATGATATGTGAACAGATGATCTTAAGTACGGGCTAGAAATAATGATTACATCGATGTCAGGGCAGTGATCAGTCAAGCAATCAATTATTGATTGGGTGTCATTTTTTTCCCGCGTGTAGCCATTTTAAGAAGAGAAAGTTTGCATTCGACTTGGATGTGGAGGGTCCTTCTGTCATCGTCCTTCTGTCATCGTCGTTCTGTCACTGCCGTTCCGTCACTGTCGTTGTGTTACTATCGTTATGTCGCTGTCGTTCTGTCACTGTCGTTCAGTCACTGTCAATCTGTCAATTTCGTTCTTTCTGTTCATTTCCAGGTGTACTCAAACGTTATAAAATTAAATAATAGAATGATTGTGAACCCGTCATCATTATATACCTACACAATCTGCAAGTAAAGTAAATTCAATCGCTGCTTGTCTTACATGTCTTGTAACGTCTTCGTGGGGCCTGAGGGTTGGATGTTGTCATTGGGCTTAAAGTTGGCTTTTGTCACTATGCTGAATTGTGGTTATTTTCATTGGGCTTAAAGGTGGGCATTGTCATTGTGCTGCGTGTAGGCTATTTTCATTAGGCAGAGATCTGGCTTTTTGTCATTTGGCAGAAAGGTGGCTTTTTTCATTTGGCAGATTGGTGTTTTTTTTTCTATTTGGCAGATAGGCGGTATTTCCCTTGGGCAGATTGGTGGGTTTTTTTTTCATTAGCCAGATGGGTGGGTATTTCCATAGCCATAGAGCAGATTGGTGTTTTTTTTTCCTTTGGGCAGATTTATGTTGGTTTTTATCCACTGGGCAGATGGGTGTGTTTTTTTGCATTGTGAAGATCGGTAGGTACTTCCCATTGGACAGAAAGGTGGGTGTTTCCATTGGACAGAAAGATAAGTGTTTCCATTGAACAGAAAGGTGGGTGTTTCCATTGGACAGAAAGGTGGGTGTTTCCATTGAACAGAAAGGTGGGTGTTTCCATTGGGCAGATGGGTGGGTGTTTCCTTTGGGCAGATTGGTGGGTAGTTCCATTGCGCAGAAAGGTGGGTGTTTCCATTGGACAGAAAGGTGGGTGTTTCCTTTGGGCAGATTGGTTCGTTTTTCCATTGGTCAGAAAGGTGTGTTATTCCATTGGGCAGAAAGGTGACTTATTCCATTGGACAGAAAGGTGACTTATTCCATTGGGCAGAAAGGTGACTTATTCCATTGGTCAGAAAGGTGACTTATTCCATTGGGCAGAAAGGTGACTTATTCCATTGGACAGAAAGGTGACTTATTCCATTGGGCAGAAAGGTGACTTATTCCATTGGACAGAAAGGTGACTTATTCCATTGGGCAGAAAGGTGACTTATTCCATTAGGCAGAAAGGTGACTTATTCCATTGGGCAGAAAGGTGACTTATTCCATTGGACAGAAAGGTGACTTATTCCATTGGGCAGAAAGGTGACTTATTCCATTGGGCAGAAAGGTGACTTATTCCATTGGACAGAAAGGTGGATATATCCATGATATTTTATCATAGCGAGCCACGCCTAAACCACTCGTCCAACACATCGACGGCCGCCGTACATTGAAGAGTTGAGGGCATAGTACACTCTGTTTTTCCATCTGCGGGCCCATGAGACAATAAATCGTACTTAACTCAAACAGTATGCAGAAAGAAAAGTATTCTTTACATTATTATTATTAGGTTCAATTGAGTGTAAACCTAACATTAAAAGGTGAAATATTACAAACTACTTTTAATGGAAAAAAAAAAATTATAGTCTAAATCGATTTAAAAAAAAAAAAAACTAAAAAAATGTTCACAATAAATAGATAACTTTTTAAAAATAAGAAAATGAACTAAAATTTAGGTTATAATAATTTTCTTTTCAAATGTATTTTCAGTGACTACTACAGCCGTGACTACTACAGCCGTGACTACTACAGCCGTGACTACTTCAGCCGTGACTACTAAATCCGTGATTTTTACAGCCGTGACTACTTCAGCCGTGACTACTACAACCATAAATACGACAGCTGTGATCACCAAGCTACAAAGCAAAATTCATTAAAGCGATATTGCAGCATTGGTAATGTCATCGACTGGTCAACAAAATCTGGACACAGCATGAATATTCCTGGGGACGTACCAAGTCGTAGCAGACCGCACTCGCTCACAAGTATCGGATACCCATGCCATGCCATCGTGTTTCAAAAGTGACCCGGGTTTTGATGGAGAACCCCAGTTCGGGGGACAGTATCATGTTACCACTAGCATGAATGGAAGAACTGGTCAGGTCGATAACTACCACCTTCCAGGTGAAGACTCAAAGGAGTCGAGCAAAGTTAGTCAGTATTACTCCGATAACGGTAATTTCAACGGAGAAAATGTTGCGTCGTCTGCTTTCATAGCCAGGAGCTCCATCAAGAAAACTGAATATCTTAACACCATCAACGCAATCAGTTCGAGCCCTGTGAACATGGGGGAATTATCACAATGTTCACTCAGGACTCCTCCATACGACGAAGAAACGATTTGTGAATATGATACCATCGCTGATTTCCCTAAAGTTCCCGGGGAGACGGGAATCTCTCAGAGCAATGCCTCCATAAAGAGCATACCGTGTCTTTCGAATGGGGTCTTCACTACGTCGCGAGACTCTACTTCCGGTCGGTACCCTCAACAACCCGATGGCTCGGCGGACGGAACGCGGCAGCTCACCCCTACCGTCTCCATTTACACCCTCAACTCTTGCAGCCAGGAACAGCTCGACCTGACGTCCTCAACAAACAATCTCCTTGACGCCATCGCCTCCCCTGCCAGCTCGCCAGAGGCAGCACCTACCTCCTCGAGACCATCGCCCAGGTCTAAGGGCGCCGCCATGTTGAAAAACTTAAGATCACGTGGTAAGAAGACGCTGTCGCTTAGCAACCTTCTGCCACATAAGAACAACGAAATCACCGAGCCGGTCAAGGCCGTCAAATTCAAATCGTTCGCCGACAACCAGAATGCAAATGGGACCATTCAGTGCCCCTCACCTCGGAGTCAGGCTCCCTCTAACTCGAGACACTCCATCCTTAAATCGACGTCATCTCCGATCGTGTACAAGACGAGCAATGAGATGGTGGATGACGGAAAGAGATTTAGCAGCTTCCGCGCAGCAAGCTTCAAGGCAAGTATTGCTAATTCTGTCTCGTTACTTTATCCCTAAAATTAGCTTCCATACATCAAAAGAGGTATCTTGTCTCTGATGTCCAACAATAATCATTATTGAATAATGATTATGTTAAAGAGGACACAACGCTAATGATTCGCGTAGATGAGTGGTTCTCAAACTTCTTTTCCAATATCTGCGCTCATAAAACAGTATAGTTATTTAAACTGAGTAACATTGTTACTCAGATAGAAGATGGTTCTGGAGAAAGATATTAATAATTTATTTGTTTGTTTGATAGTGCGTCTTATTTCACTGAAATAAAATTATTTTAAAAAAATAAAAAAGGAATAATGAACATTACAATGTTTCGGGGTGCCCCTGTGAGAAAGCCGCACATCAACTGGGCGCCACGGCGCACACTGTATGGACCACTGGTGAAGAGCATAACTAAAAATCAATACTGCCGGCTGAAAAGGAGTTCATAGGGAAACCAAAAATTGTTTATTTTTTGACCGGAGTTAAATGTATATTCTTTTTGTACACTTTTATTTTGCTTCCTAAATTACGTAGAATAGGGGTCACCAACCTTTTTGCCCAGAGGCCCGGCATGGAATTTTTTAATTTTTTTTTTTCAGGAGCGATTCACTTGATACTTTTTTTTAAAATTTCAATCGTATACACCAGTAACAATGGTTTTTGAAAGTTAATTCCCGTGCTCATTTCGCAAAAAATAATAGTTATAATATGAACATTTTATGTGAATAATATTATTTATTTGACAAGTGTACAAATTGTACACCGTGATTAATAGTTTTCATAGAGTTGGACAGATAATCCTTCACAATGTGTACAATTTTTAAAAAAAACATAAAAACCCCAGTTCTGGAAAGGTCCTTTTGGGCAACATCAATCGTTTCACTGGGCCGCCTGTGGCCCGTGGGGCGCCTGTGGCCCGTGGGGGGCAGATTACCCCCGACCCTCCACTAGAGACATGTTTCAGCCGTTATCCAAACAGGTATATTATGACAGGAAGTTCTAGTAAGACCAGAATGATTATGTTTTAGACCATTTTATTTTAAATGTAAATTATTATTTTTTTTTATTATTATTTATGTAACTTATTTTATTGTGCGTAGTCTTTTTTTTATATTTTTGTTTGTTTCAACGGGGGTGGGCCTTTTTGGGCAGGTGTAAATTTTTTAAGTCGATTTTTACCATTCTCAAAATTTCCGTGCAGAAAAATCGGTTACCGGAAATTTGATGGAAAGAAATTTGATGGACGGAAAAGTGATCAAACGGAAATTTGGTCGAATCTTTTTTCAGTGCCCACCTTAAAATTTTTGTCAAATTTATTTTTGAACGCATTATTTCGTTTTATTATATAGTATAGTGCGTTCGAAAAGAAATTTGAAGCAAAATTTTAATTTAAAAACTGAAGGAAAAAAAAGAATTCGACCAAATTTCCGTTCGATCAAATTACCGTCGATCAATTTACCGTCGACGAAATTTCTTTCCATCAAATTTCCAGATAAGAGTAAAATCAGCTTGACATCATACTGTATGTACCAGCGATTGACCCCCGTGTACTCTTTGGTTTCGACGTAACGCCAGTTAAGCGAGTGCTGGCAGACCTATATTATTACCAACGAACACACCTCGTTATACACAGACAGAGGGAATTAATGGGGGGGGGGGGGGGGGCCGCCCTTTTAATGGGGGGGGGGGGTGGACGACCTTTTTCTATTTATACTTACTTTTTCAGGGTGTCGACGTATGTCATTGAACGAATTTGTGGAATTTAAAACATGTATTATTATAAGCTATGACAAGTATAACATATTTAATTTCATGAAGATAGAGGCAGAGAAGGGTTTTACAAAATAGTATTGATTTAATTTAGGTGATTTAAAAGAATTGCACTGGGCATATCAGTTGGCGAACTTAGTGTGCACTTGTACAGCTCATCGCAAGCACATGCCTTTGAGTTACATATATATATATATATATATATATATATATATATATATATATACTGGAAGTTATGAACCGGTGTTATCCGTGTGGCATATTGCGGTACTAGCCTTCAGCTTTTGCATAGTCTTGCTTGTGTGTGCTCTGGTGTTTAATAAATTTGGCTTTGGTAATTTAAATACATTTTCATGTACTACACCTTCAAAATAAAAACAAAAAAATAAAAAAAAATTTTTTTTTAAAACTTGCTCTTCAAATGTATGTTCAGGAAATGGAAAATTCGAGTTGATTTGTTTTTAAAGAACCGTATATTTATAGCTGTTAATCTTTGTAGCATCAATTGATTTTGAGAAATTGATAACTCTAATTTAAGTAACATATTATATTTACCACGCCCCAGATTTATAATGAAGAAATATACATAGATCATTTATATATATATATAAACATTATTTAAACATCTGTAACATTATCAGATTTTTAGACATTAAATTCGTCATTAAAAAATTCCAGACAATAGCCCGGTTTCTGAACTACAGGTTCAGAAAATCGTAAAGAACACAGATTTCTTAAATCTAGAAAATCTAAAAAATTTAGTTCACCAATATTGCCGATTGTAACAAGTTTCAAACAGAAAAAAAAAATGTAAGACTTATCTCATAAAAATAATTCCACCTTGATATTCAATTTTTTAGTTTTTATACTTACTTCATCATTACTGTATCACAATGATACTCACCGCACGCTATAACTCTAAACGCGCTGGTAATGAATTAATTTCTTTTCAAGCTGGATGAGTCCGAGACGAAGTCTAAGCACAAAGACCACGGGAACGTGCTCTCTACCATTGAAGATGGGGTCCGTTGTGACTCGCCTGTCATTGTTCGGTCCGGTCTGTGCAGGTACGTCACGGATACATTGACGAAGTTTAAACATATTGTATAAAAAAAAAAATATACCCATCTAGTTATCATGGTGTTGACATAATTTGTTTAACTTTTTATACCATACTAGTTATTTTAAACGATAGTTCTCTATATCATGTACATTGATTCGTCGATTTGCCTTCTGTACCGGTATTTCCAAATTTATCGATCGATTCATTTGTGCATCTATTTATTTGTATTCTATTAATTTAGTTTCTATAAATACATATATGTGCTTTATTTGCTTTTGTATATGTGTGTGTTTGTGGATGTGATAATTTGTGGCTGAGAAACTCAAATTCATAAGCACAGTGCTGAAACACTACAGACCGCTGATTATGTGATTTACCCGCGTCTATATAATACAACTACCAGTTATAACTCATAACTCTGGTAGAGTGAATAGGCTCCGCTATAGTAATGCTATTGGCCCAACAACATTAGCTGTGAATATCTTACACATAATGAATTACAACTTTAGGAAAAAATATCATATTAATCCGTATTCAAATAACGAGACCATAACGAGAGCAACCCTAAATAGGTGGTCCTCAAACCTCCTAATGCCGCGACCCTTTAAAACAGTTTCTCATTTCGTGGTGATCCACAAACACAAAATCACTTTCGTTGCTACGTAATAAACATGTTTTCCTACGGACATAGGCGACCCCTGTGTAAGGGGCGTTGGACACCTGCAATGGCGTCACGGCCCACAGGTTGAGAACCGCTGCCCTAAATGTTTACGTGAAAGCGACTAAAAGGAATCCTTGGTAGGCAAAATGTATTAAAGCACACACTCAGACCAACACACATATATGTGCATATGTTTATAACAGAATTTAGGTCAGATTCATTTTTCTTCATTTTTTCCGGTTACTCTCTCCAATGTCCAGGTGCTCCAATTTGTCCACCCAACGGGGTAGACGGAACCACGCGTTGATGATCATGCTGGTCTCCGTCGTCCCGGTCATAGCACTAGTGATCCAAAACAGTATCGACGTGTACGAGCAAAGCGCCAGATTGGAGCAGCACGACGTCATCAAAGCGGAGATTCTCTTCAGGTGAGCTGACGTCATAGATCGGAGTCGCTTGTTTCTTTGTTGTTGTTTTTATATAGTCCTTTGTTTAGGTAACATAACTTTTCTCAAAATGTTCACTCCCTGTCACGTGTGTCTCCGAACAAACCGAACGGGACAGGTGCTAGATAATAATGTGTCTCAGTCACAACAGTACGCATCGTGCCATGTGTCGTGTTCTGATCGTTAGCCTCTTGCTATCATTCATCAGTTGTTACCATTTCTCCATTGTTACCTTTTATCCACGGTCATCTTTCCACTAGTGTTGTCATGTATCCAATGTTATCATTTTTTTCCATTGTTATCATTTATCTATTGTCATTTCGTGTTGTTTTGTTTTTTGCGTAAAATTTTCCTGTTCTATCCTTCCTTCTTTCCCTATTTTCAACCTATTCGTCATCTCTTTCTCTTTTTATCTAGCTCTCCTTCTCTCTCTCTCTCTCTCTTTCTAACTAGCTCTCTCTCTGTCATTTTATCTCTCTTTCTCTCTCTCTCTCTTTCGCTCTCTTTTTTTCTCTCTTTCTCTTTCTCTCTCTCTCGATTTCTCTCTATATCTCTCTCTATATATCTCTCTCTCTTTCTCTCTTTCTTTCTTTCACTCTCTCTCTTTCTCTCTATTTCTCTCGTTCTCTCTCTTTCTCTCTTTCTCTCTCTGTCAGTTTATCTCAATTTGTCTCTCTAACTCTCTTTCTCTCTCCCTCTTTCTATGTTTTTATTTAACTATGTTTCTCCCTCTCTTTCTTTCTCTCTCTCTTTCTATGTTTTTATTTCTCTCTCTTTCTTTCTTTCACTCACTCTCTTTCTCTCTATTTCTCTCGTTCTCTCTCTTTCTCTCTTTCTCTCTCTCTCTGTCAGTTTATCTCAATTTGTCTCTCTATCTCTCTTTCTCTCTCCCTCTTTCTATGTTTTTATTTCTCTATGTTTCTCCCTCTCTTTCTTTCTCTCTCTCTTTCTATGTTTTTATTTCTCTCTCTTTCTTTCTCTCTCTGTCTCTCTCTCTCGCTCTTTAAAGACTCTCCTCTACTCGAATTTATTTCCATCGTGTGAGTGGATGTGCTTTATATTTTTGTAAAAACACGTGACGTCAAGATTTATCGCGCAGTGTTCACCTGGTTAACGGCTGGAGATGGGATGGAAACTGTCGCTAAAACTATAACGTTGGACCTCATCTGCAACCTTGAATGATCGGCTCGGTGGGTTAGCTCAGGGCTACGTTTTAAGTCGTATGCCTAGGTACAGGGTTAAATCACTTTAAAACCGGGATCTCTTCAAGCAGTCAACGTTTTTTATATGAAGTAAATAATTCTACATTTGTCGATAATTTAAAGGTCACAATCTCGGGACTAAAGAAATAAAAAAAAAATTAAAGACATAGCTCAAAAAATAAAACAATTAAAAAAAATAAAATAAATAAGACTTCCCATCAAAGACAGCTAAAACGCACTCAAAAGTCAGTATAAAATGCATTTGCGAAAAGATAGTATGCTCTGAAAGTACTTCTCTATTAAAATAATTAAAATAAAATAATTACGTTTTGTGTACAATGCGAATCATTTGATTTCATCAATCGCCCATCTAGACTGCTGCACAGCATTTCGTTGCGTAATGCATTTTAAGAAATTGTAAATCATTTTGAGAGTTGGAAGAAAGTCTTTGATAGAAAGTCTTTCTCTCTCTATATATATATATATATATTGTGGAGAGTTCGGACCATGATGGCGCCTGACCAGGGATTACGGCCGTCTGACCACCCAGACACGACCGAAGGATCAAGAGCTGGGGCGCCTGGCCGTCTGACCACCCAGACACGACAGAAGGATCAAGCGCTGGGGGCGGTACCGGCCATCCATCTGACCAGGGCATTTACCTGGGACGTCTGTAACTTGGCGCCAATTGAGAAAAAGGGGCGGGGTATAATCTGGACTGGGAGAGGAACTATGGGACAGGGAGGTATAAATAGGGATCTCTGGACGGAACGAGGGTAGAGAAGGCGGCCGGACAAGGAAGGCGCCCGGACTGAGAACTAGATAGCAGGGAGAAGTCAGAGTTGTGAGATGAGTGAAAGTGTAAGCAAAGTGACAGCCCAATAAAGAACACGAGTTTAATCATCACTTGCTATCGCCGGAGTTGTTTCCTTATTGAGTACCAGATCTAGATGAAGTTAATCAGAGAGTAAGCAAGGTTTCCTTACAATATATATATATATATATATATATATATATATATATATATATATATATATATTTTTNTCCTCCTCTCTCTCTCTCTGTCATAGTCGACTCTCCATGGGTTCATTGGGTTTTCTTCCAATTCTTTCTCTCTTTCTCTGTTTCTCTCTTTCTCTCTTTCTTTTTTTTTCTTTCTCTTTTCCTCTCTCTCTCTCTCTCTCTCTCTCTCTCTCTCTCTATCTATCTCTCTCTCTTTCTGGCTTTCTCTCTCTCTCTCTCTCTCTCTCTCTCTATGTCTGTCTCACTAATTATCTCTCTCTATCTCTCTCTCCTTGGAACGTAAAAATAGATACATTTCAAAAAATGTTGTGCAAAGTTGTATGAACAATAAAATTTTAGCCTATGCCGCAGTCCTAGTCAGTCCTATCCCTGATACAAAACAGTTCAAATACACCACACACATTCTATTCAACTAAAGATGCACTACACTATCTTATTTTTACTTACCACAAACAAACAATCACTTCGAAGAGATGGTCATTCACTAGTGCGGTGACCACGTTTGACACTAAACTAGAGATATCAACTTTTGCATGATGGGATTTCATATGTATTTGATCACGACTAGAACATAGAGTCGCATAGAGTTACAGGTAGTTACAGAGTCACATGGACCAAGAGAGTCACAGAAAAACATAGATAATCACAAAGAGGCTCAGAGAGTCACACTTAGTCTCAGAAAGAAACGAGGGTTGAAAAAGTGGCACAGAGTGGCACAGAGTAGAACAGAGTGGAACAGAGTGGCACATAGAGTCTCACTGAGTCAAAAAGAGTCATATACAGTTTCAGAAACTCACAAAGAATCAAAAAGAGTCTCAGACTGTCACATAGAGTCACATACATTCTCCGAGAGTCACAAAGAGTATCCTAAAGAGAACCAAAGAGAGTCACAAAGATTCTAGGAGAGTCAATGACAGACATGGATAGTTTCAGAAAGATACAGGGATTAACATATACACTAAGAGAGTTACGAGAGTCTCAGAGAGGCACAACGTGTCTCAGAGATCACACATATTCTCAGAGAGTCACAAATAAACTCAGAAAGTAACAGCGAATACCATTTAGCTTTAGAAAATCACAGATAGTCTCAGAAAGTAACAGAGAGTCATAGATAGTCTAAAAGAGTCAGAGAGAGTGACATATAGACAAAGTTAGTCTAATAGTGTCCTATAGAGACACATATGGTCTCAGATGTTCCCATAGAGTCTCGGAGTGTCCCAGACGGTGGCCATAGATAGTCTCAGAAAGTCACAGAGATTCGCAGAGAGTCACAAAGGGTATCAAAGTGTCTTCCAAACTGTAGTCATGGACTAGTTTGTTTAGGGTTGGAAATATTTTTCTTTCTCATAGGTCACAATATCGTTCAGCAGTGTAAGAACATATAAGCTTGGCGCTGTTATGTGACTATCTCAGGCGCAGACTGTCTTGTGTGACTATCTCAGACACAGTCTCTGTTATGTGACTCTCACAGGCACAGTCTCTGATGTGTGAGTCTCTCAGGCAAAATCTATTGTTGTGTAAAACTCTCCTGCGCAGACTCTGTTATGTGACTCTCTCAGGCACAGACTCTGTTATGTGACTCTCTCAGGCGCAGACTCTGTTATGTGACTCTCTCAGGCGCAGAC